TGTATCAATTAATAAGACTAAGTTTGATACTTGCAAGTCTCATCTGTCTGAAAGAGATTCCTGATGCAATCTTAAGGCCCAAGATCTTGCTGAAGTTGGTTGATGAAAAAGAACCAGTTTGAGTCAGATAATCTTGGTGAAATGGAAAGGTCGAGGCCGAAGCCTGGCACGAGCTTAGGGTTTCTGGGTGCGTTTTTCTCACATCCTCTCAGAATTAAAACAGACCACCGACTCCTGAGAGGGTCCCTGGTGTGGGCCTTTAAGGTCGGAGAAGAGTCACGCCTCTCAAGGCGGGCCTGTCCAATGAGAAAGGAAGAAATTCCAAGCGGGAGGTTGCAATTGCTGGAGGGTTTTACGACCCTTTGTTCGTGGGCATGGTAATTTGCATATGTAATTCGCTTGGGGTGTGGATGCACAAACTAATAAAAGATTCTTAGAATACTAATATGTTGCATAGGTATAAACATACAATATACACTCTCAATTAGATGATCCGAATACTAATCCATAGATACTAAACATGGTAGGGTTATATATGTAAGCTGACAGGAGTGAGTGTTTTGATCATAGAACAGTATACAATCTCAAAGACAAAATTCACGATGACAATAATATACACAATGACCTGAAGGATACACTGTTCATTCAAAGAAAGGTTTTCCTATGAATTAATTAGTAGAAAAGTTCATTCCTACTGTGCCTTGGGGATTTTCCTTATGAAAAGACAGTGCTTTTCCCTGCTCACATTCCATGAGGTCGTAAAAGTATCTGGTGTCAGGGTTGCCATGGTTTGGTGTCATTTGCAGACATCCTGGCATCCAGTTTATTGGGTGAGGGGACTGTGGCGATTTGTTAATCTAATGAAGAACTGATTTTTGAAGAACAGCCTGAAGGACTATGCTAATTTTGATACACATAACTTACGTTTTTCATGGAATTGTAAGAGATTTTTCTATAAAAAAAAATAATTCTGATTAGGTAGAAAAGACAGAGGAGGTTGAGATAGAACAGGTTGACATTTAAAAATATTGTGGAGTCTCAGGTTAAGGCAACATAACAACAGTGGCATATTTGCAGCAAATACTGATTACACCCTTAAAATTATCTTTGTATTATTTTTGTTATTTGTGCAAACATAAGAATTAATAGCAGAATCAAGTGGTCAAAGTTGTAACTAAAATTCTTCCATTTGCTCTAGGTTGCACCGAAACTGCTCAGGGAGATATTGTGCTCCTTGTTGACTCGTCTGGTAGCATTGGAGAGAGTAATTTCGAAGAAGTGAGGAAGTTCCTCCATTTTTTTGTGGACAGTTTTAACCTTAAACCCGACAAGATGAGAGTGGGACTTGCTCAGTACAGTGACAGGCC